CCTGAGGAGGGGTGAGACGAGCCGAGGTTACTTAATTGCTGGGGGGCTGCGGGTTTGCATTGCGCTGTCATGCGACATATGTGCGTGCATGTGCAGTGCCGTTGTGCGCACGTTGCTTGTTTTTCAAGTGCTGTAGATCTAATGGTTGCCCTGGGGTCTAATTCTACTTACTGCGAATCTGCATGCCACAAGTTATAAAACAAGCATCCTGGATCGGGTGGACCCTGTTCGGTGCCCTGCTGAGGTCGAACGCAAAAACGAGGGAGCCCTCGCCCTTTTCGCGGCAATTCTGGGCGGCCGTCGCCACCGTCTCTCGGTAGAAGCGCAAGGTCTCCAACTGTAGATCACATGTCTGCATGCATAGTTGCACACGGGGGGGGGGGGGGGGGCAAGGGGGGCGGGGGTGCGTTTGGATCTCACACGCGTTCGTGTTATGGACCAAGCCTTCGGCCACTGCCGCCACCCGACATGCTCTGAGCAAAAAAAGAAAAAAAAAAACAAAAAAAAAAAAAAAAAAAAAAAAAAAAAAAAAAAAAAAAAAAAAAAAAAAAAAAAAAAAAAAAAAAAAAAAAAAAAAAAAAAAAAAAAAAAATGAGCGATGCGGGAAGCTAGTGCGGGAAGGATCTCGAGACCCCCTCATCCCCATGCGAAGCGCAATAAAAACAGAGGCCCTGCAACTCAGTCAGGCTCGTCTCGTCCACGCAAGGCAAGCCCGTCTCGAGAAACTGCCGAAGCGGAGGTAACATAAGCTGGAAGTCGTTCGGGGTCTTCGTCGGCCTGGGCACGTCGAAGTAGTCGCAGTGCCGCCCACATATGAACGCTCTGGAGATCGCAGGTCGCAACATTCGCATTTCTGGAGCAGTGGGGCCGAGGGGGGTGTCATGGAGGATGGGGGGTGGTATAGAATGAGGGGGGGTATCGCCAGCGCCGTGGCCGCTCCTCCTCCCCCTCCTCCTCCTCCTCCTCCTCCTCCTCCTCCTCCGCCTCCTCCCCCCCCTCCCCTCATAGGAGAGCGCATCTCATGAACAAAAATGGTGTCCTCTGTCTCTGATGGGGTAGGCCTTGGTCCACAGAGTTGCACTCCCAATCGAATATTCGCCACTTAGCTGGTAAGTAATGTATTGCATCATTGAGCGGCACCGACCCGTCTGCCTTCCGATTCGCGATCTCCTTCACGTTCTCGATTGCGAAGAGTTTGAGGGCCGAGTCGACGCGAACAGCTTGTTGAACGATTGCTTTCATAACTGCAGCAAAAGGAAGGGCACGCTCATCAGTCCAGTCATTCCGAGATCCGCTCGTTGAAAATGGCGGGCAAGGGGGGCAGCTTACGATCATATTCATCTTGGGGATGCTCTCGGGCAGTACGTCTACAAAATTACATGATTTTCCGATGTAGGCAAGCCTGGTGTCCCCGTTGTGGACAGATGCAACGTGATCTTGGAGTTTCGGGTCAATGTCATAGCACATGTTCACTACAGTGACGCACAATTGTTGCAAGCACATGTAAGGTGTATCCATCCCACAGCATGGGCTCAGCATTCTGAGCGCCTGCTCGCTGTTAAGAACATCGGGCCCCAAGATCGATCGGCCCAACTCTTGCCACGAATCAACTACAACCTGCTTGGGGGGCGTGCTTGCAACCGAGCTTGAGCCAGACTGGCCACGGACGAGGCGGGTGGACCGCAGAGCCCCAGCGCCACATTTCCCATCGAGTTTAACGGGGGGGAGGGGGGGTGGGCAAGCGAACGAGTGAACGCCACCAAACGTTAACGAAACTCGAACCCCCATGGTTTCAGCTTGAGGCTGTCGTACGAGACGTCTCTGGCGTGAAACAACTGCACGCTGCGGCAGAAGGACAGTGCGAAACGTTGACCCCGAGCGCAGCTCCCCACAGAGCGGCGATCTCCACATCAGCGTGTAACCCCTCTTGAGTGTGCCCCCGCCTGGCTTTATGTTTCTGGCCCGCGGACCCGCATGGTCTCCCCCTTCCCAGTCAGAGAAACGCAAACACCGAATTTGGTATGAAAGGTAGCAAGCGAATTCTACAAAAAAATTGACCGCTCCCATGTGGCGCGGTGGCTGGACGCAGCTACGTTCGCAATCGCTAGATTCAGCGACTCGTCCAGGAAGCAACTGTATGTTTTCGGGTTCCCCGCCCATCGGACGCGGAGCGTTAAATGAACCCAAAGGTGGTGCTTGGGGATCATCTCTATACTAGTCATCTTGGCCAAATCTACGTGCCTCAAGCACAGGTCTAACATTCGCTGGCAATTGGCGAGAGGAACTTTCCGTGGGCTGGATCTCATAATATCCATATACTCAACGAGTGCTTTCCCAGCGTCTTCCAATATAGGGCCATGTTCCATGCTATTCCGAAATTTCGCGCATACACGAACTGCCCAAGGTAGAAGAGCCCCAGTCTCAGCGGCCTTGGTTTTTAAGGTTTTCTTGGCATCAGATCCTAGCATTCCAGGGGTCAGGTTTCGAATGAGTCTTGAAGCATCCACTATCGGGTTCCCCTGCCCCCAAGTTTTGATGTCGTTCAAGGTGTATTGAACCCCGATATCACTCACCGTCTTGCGACATCCCCGTATACCCCATACATTGCTGCCCAGCAGTGCCCACATTATTGCCGACATATATTGAGTTAGGGCGCCCAAGTAAAAGCAATGCAACAAGTCAATCATCATAACTGAGTTGGGTGTAATACCAAGGGCTTCGCAAAATAATGGGTTTCTTCTGAGGACTGGATCAGCTAGCCTTCTCGGGTCGTCATAATGCACCCGCCAGGAAAACACAGTCATGGGCAAGGGAGCTGTCTCAAATTTCCCGACATCCCTGAGATTGGCGCAAGGGTCAAGTCTGTCAGTCGGTCGCAAACCAAACTTTGCCACATCATGTTTGATAATTCTCCCACGTTCTCGTATCGGATCAAATATCACCCCCCCCCTGTATCAGGATTGCATGTCGATCGTCCTCGCTCAAAATATCTACTCTGATCTCGCAAGTCACACAGGCAGCCCCATAGTCTTGGGGAGGGCCCCAAGCGTGCCCGAGAAGCGAGACGTTGTCGAATGAGAATCTGCATGCCCCACCGTTCTGGGACTAATGGCGTGGAGCTCGCATTTTTTTATGGTTTTTAGTTTTGCCCTAGTGTTGCAGTCGCGGGTGTTTGTTTTACATGCATGATGTTGGCGTGTCAATGTGTTTGGTACACAGCGTTCCCGACGCGCGAACCACGATCCCCACGGGCTCCCCGCTGAGCAACGCTCAGCTCGCGGACCATGCGGCAGCATATATAGATAAGCTCGGCTTCTCCGCTTGACACAGAAAACATGGATGGTGATATGAGGCCCATGTGGGTGGGCCGAACGTGTTCGACGTGCTCGTCCCGTTTGTTTTTTAACACCGAGTTATCTGCCAGCTCACAACCATCCCACTTTCGATCTGGACGATGCCCTGTGGCGCAGCTTTCCAGACACCATCGGAGGAAATCGAATACTGGATAATGCGAGCACCATCCTCGACACCCGCACTTACACGCCTCACGCTTGGAGAGGACCCCCAGGAAATGTCTTTTGCCAGTGACGATATTGTATACGTTTATGTTAAGTAGTGTATCTACTTTGCCGATTGCTGTGCGCCGAGTATATCGAACACCATCTGCGTAGATGGCAAAAAGAAATGTCGGCCTGTCATCCCCTGGGATACGTCTGAGTGGGTGGCGAGCAAAATTATCCTGCCAGTCGGAATCGTTGCTCACCTTCGCAGAAAGCTCGTTGGCCCCAGCAAGGTCCGCCTCGATTTCGGCGTTGAGCGTCTCATGTATGGCAGCACAAAGAACTGGCTTTTCCTGTGGGCCATGATTTGAAAGCGTTGCAACATTTGCGTACACTGCACAGGTCACATGTGTATACGCGCGCACACATGGGATGGGGAGGAGGAGGAGGAGGAGGAGAAGGAGGAGGAGGAGGAGGACATGGAACGGGGGGACTGCACTGCGTTGCTTTGCAACCACTATGCGGCTACGATCACAATCGCGACACACTGGATCCCACGAAACCCTTTGAGTCCCCTCAAGTCCTCCTGCCTGCCACCCCAGAACGAAGGCACACCGACTTTGCAAAGAGGCGCTTCTGGAGCATGACCTAGAACTCCCTTCAAGTGGCGCTCGTAGTGGCCGTCACTATCAGACATAAAGGCTAATTCTTGGAGATCAGATCCTGCCGCTCCTGCGTGTGTGGCATGGTGAGCAATTAGACAGACATCTTTTGCTGACATCTTGCCGAGAGCGTATTTTGTAATGAGTAGCTCCTTCAAGACTGCGCCATGTGACTCCCTCTCTGCGGATCGACCGCTGACAGAGGGCTGCTCCCAGGATGCTTGCGACCCCTCTGCAGGCATCTCCCAACTACGCAGCCTAACCGAGCAGTCATCCTTCTAAACGACTGCAGGATATGAAAGATCTATGCGTGAATTGGACATGATTCCAGAAATCACCAAAAACCATTACAAAAACTCCCAAAAACCATTCCACGAAAACTCCACGCAAACTCCGCGCTGATTCCACGCTGATTCCACGGTAACTCCACGCTTCGTTTTTTTGAGGATGCATCGAGCGAAACGCTGGTTTCCACGGTAACTCCACGGTAGTTCCACGGTAATTCCACGGCTGGTTTCCCGGCGAGACCGGAGGCACATCAAACATTGGCATCGGTTCCAGGATGTTGGGCAATTTTATGAACGAACTACATCAAAACATGTGCACCGAGCTGGAAGATCTGTCATCGGTGGCTGGGTCTGCCAAAAGTTGCAGACGAGCCAATGATCATGCCCCTGTGCACAGGGACCAAAGAGAAACAGATGTAGCCATGCGGCGGCGAGATAGGATAAATAATTGAACAGTTCACGTGTGCGCCTATCAGCAGATAGACTTAGAAGAAAACCCCAACTGAAGCAGCCTGCACCTGCACGCTGCTGTCCCCGATCATCTACAGATCCTAGAGCTCGTCGACGTCGCTGGGCACGAGGTCCTTCATCTGGCGGATCCGACGGACCTTGGCCTGCATCGCATGGAGCTTCTGCTCGAAGTTAACCTGGAAGGTGTTCAGCGCGTGGATCAGCTCGCTCTCGTCCGTGTGATCCTTCATAGTGGGGATCCCCTCGGTCAGGATTCTCTGGAACGTCGTGTCGGTCTTGGCGCCCCTCTCCAAGGCCTTCAGGTTGCCCTCGAGGTTCTTGGCGAACTTCACAGCGAACGCCCACTCCCCCTGATCACCAGCTGTGATGTCATTGATCAAGGTCCTCTCAGGAGTATTCAATCCAAGCCTTCCTAGAGTTGGAGTGATCGATCGATCTCTGCCTGATCCTCCGATCGATCACTCTATCTATTTGGGAAGGCTATGATTTGAATGCGCTGGTCCTTGCTTCCATGGTGGCCATGCTGTACAAGGCGAAGGTGTCCTGCCCGCTCTTGATGGCGTTCTTGAGCGAGTTGGCGGGGCTAGCCTTCGCCTTGGCCTTCCCCTTCGCCTTGCCCTTCGGGTTAGCCTTCGGATTCGCCCTGGGGCGCGGCACCACCTCGCCCGCAGTCTCTGTCATAGCCTTTTTCCCAGATGGTGCAGCTGCAGGTGCTGCTGGTGGCGTGGCTGCGGGAGTTGCAGGTGGCGTAGTCGCTGGCGTCGACGAGGGCGCGCCTGCAGCTGCTTCAACTGCAGGAGCTCCACCAGGAGTCGGCCTGTTGCTGTCGACCTCCTCCTGCGTCCAGGAGTTGACGTTCATCGCCCTGACCTTCTTGCGCCGCATGCGGAAGGTCAAGCGGCCCGAGTCCTCGTCTACCTCCGAAAAGGGCGGGCCCCGCTCGATGCATTGACGGGCGATCCTCAACGCGCCCTGGATAGCCGTCGGGCGGTCGAACCCGCCCTGGGCGATGATGAGTTGGTCCAGGTTGAGTAGTTCGCCCTCCACTTCATCCTCGTCGCGCCTCTCGGTTGTCCTGCGCCTCTTCTTCATGTGCTCATCATAACGCTCCTTGGCCCGCTCCGCGCGGTCGATCTCCTTAAGGTATGGCCTCTTCTTGTGGTACTCGGCCCTCTTCCCTGCAGTCCAGTGGCTGGCGATGAAGCGATCGAATCTCGACCCCATCACCCCTTTGGCGGGGAAAACGAAGCCAGTCGTCGAGAGCGACTCCAACTCCTCATCTGCAGGGCCTTGCAGCTCTTCCTCTCCATCAGGGTGCTGCGCATCTGCAGTCGTCCTCCTCTGCGCCTTGAACATCATCAGAAGCTCCTGCTGGCAGAGCGTAACGCGTATCATTGAAACACAACGTTTGCCAGAGCATCCAGAAAACGACAGGGAGTTCAGAAAACCAAGCTGCTAAAAAAGACCATCCCCCATGGCATCACAACGCTTATGACTACTACCCACGATGGATCCTGCTCGTAGTCGACGGTGCTGCTCTCGGTGGCCGCGGTCGCCTTACCTTGACCAATAGCGGCCATGACCTCTTCAGCGAACGTTGCTGCGAGATCAGCGGGGCCCTTGGCGGGGTGATCCTGTTCTGCATCTGAGAGTTCGTCCTCCTGAGGGTTACGCGGCAGGCCGCCGCCGTTGCCGATGTCCTCAGCGGCGGGGGCAGCGGGCGGCTCCGCGGCCACCAACTCCTGCGCGGTCTCCGCGGGCGCCCCATCAAGCTCGGTCTCGGCCACATCCTCATGGGGTGGTCTCGATCGTTCCAGCTTGTCCGACGGTCTCCCCCCCGCTCCTTTAAAGCTCACCCCACCTGTTATAATGGGGTGTGTCGGGGGGAAGAGGGCGGAGCGGAGGAGAGGCCACCCAATGAAGGACTATTAACGAGCGCAAGCGTCCTGACCCTCAGGAACACTCGAGTCGTCTACCTCGAGCACTTGGGCGACAGGTGCCCTGACTCACGGGGGCGGTCAGAAGACGGAACCCCTCTTTCACTGCCCCTTGGAGATTTCACGGCATCCAGGATCAGAGCGGCCCATGGGTTCCACAGAGAGTTCATGACCCCCATGGTTTAGCACGATCGTTTTCGGAGAACTTCTAACGCTCGACTGCACCCGAGAACGAAAACCTGAGCAGTCATGCGCGTATCGATTGCAGATCGCCCAACCTTGAACCCCACGCGCCTGGAAAAAATGAGGAGTCGGAACCTTGAAACTTACCAGCGCTTGTTTGCAAATCCGATGCCTCTGCAGGGGCTACAGATGCATATCCGCGCCGTGCGGCCCTGAGCCGATTGTGGCGGGCGTCCAGCTTCTGAACGGCTGCCGGCGTGTTGGACGTCATGTCGGATACCGTGCGTCGGTGGACTCTGAAATTCAGAACCCTGAAATGACTATAGATTGCTAGAGCCCAACGCACACGCACGCACACACACAACATATTCGGATGTCTATGTGCATTCAGGTGCGATTGCTTTGTTTCGATGTGATCATGCGTCTGCTCGCTGTTTCGTTTTTGTTGTTGTTGTTTTGTTTTTTTGTTTTTTTTGTTGGGGGGCGGGGGAGTCTGCATTGTTCGGGCCGACGGGGCATTTCTGAGCCTAGCATCCCCTTATACGGTGGGAGATCGGATTCATTGTCGTATGCGCCTTAATTCCCGATGTGACGGGACGGGGTTACGAGGCCTTGTGGTAGAACGAACCCCTCAAGGACGGATATCACTCCAGGGCCCCAGGGAGAGCGAGGAGGAGGAGGAGGACCAATGGAGGAGCAAGGGTGCAGACGAGGGAACAGGAAAAGGATAATGGCAGGTGAAGATGAGGTGGAGGAGGGCTTGGTGGCTCGAGGATCCCAGCTGTCTCAAATCAGGACCGCAACCAGCTAGCCTCGGGCCCCTCGACCAGGTCAGGGCGGGTGCGCTCTGGGGGGCTATCGGCGGCACCCTCGACGGGCGCCGTGCTCACTGCAGGGGCGGCGGCCGGTGCAGGGGCGCTGGAGCTGGGGCTGGCGGCTGGCCGCTTTAAAGCGGCAGCTGGGCGTTTCATGCCCGTGCTCCGATCGGAGCTGCCCGCGCCCGTGGTCTTGTCGGAGCCGCCCACGTCGGTGCCGCCGCCCGTGCTCTTGTCGGCGCCGCCCGTGCTCTCGCCCGTAACCTTGGCCATGAAGTTCTTCTTCTCCTCTGCGATGCCCTCCTTGGTGGTCTTGCCGTTCGCGAGCTTCTCGGCCAGGCCCTGCGCGAAGGCGAACCCCTCTGGCTCGCCGCCCTTGAAGAGGTCGACGTTCAGGTGCATCAAGGCCGCCCCGTTGAACCTGATGCGGGCCAAGCGGATCTTCGGGCCCTTCTTCGGGCCGTCGCTCCGCACATCTGCTATGATGTTCTCGCCGTTCTCGGTGACGCCTGTGTACTTCAGCGCGCCATCTGCAGCTGCGGCAGGTCGTTTTCCTACTGGCGGCGGCTTCTTGCTCTTGCTCACGGGCTGCTCGGCATCTCCTAGCCCCGCCTGCTTGTATGCGCCCACGGTGAGCTGAGGAATCGAGCGCCTCTCGTTCGGCCAGCACGCTATCATCATGTGGTGGTCCAAGGCGTCCTGTGGGACCTCGAAGGCCGCGTTGCATTCTACGGAGTCCGTATCTTTGCTGCTCGCGAGCTTCCGCCATGCACGCATCGACACTGCGTCGAAGCCATGCACCATATCACCTGATGGAAGCCGCATGCACAATTGTGAGAGGGCGCGTGCCCCCTCTCACGACTAGGAGGGTGGATGTTTCCACGCCTCCTCGAGCTCCTACTCCTCCCCCTCCTCCTTCTCCTCCTCCGAGCCTGCCCTCTTCCTCCCCCTCTTCCTTCTCTTCCTTCTCCTCCTCCGTCCTCCTCCTCCTCCCTCCTCCTCCTCCTCCTCCTCCTATTCCTCCCCCTCCTCCTCCTCCTCCTTACCGTGGGTTGCACCCGTCATCACCTGTCTCAGCGGCCGCTGGTTTCTTGGCGATGTCGACGTCGCCCTCGTCGTCTGGGTCCACCTCCTCGTCGGGCTCGCCACCCTGCTCCTCCTCGCCGCCCTCCTCTGCGCCGTCGGGCTCGTCGACCTCCGAGTAGTCGTCGTCGGCGCCGCTCAGCACGAAGCCCAGCTTCTTGAACCACTTCGGCGCCGTCGAGCCCTGCCCGCGCGACGGGCGTCACAAACATGAAGACGGGGAGGAGGGGGAGGAGAAGGAGGAGGGGGAGAAGGAGGAGGAGGAGGAGGAGGAGGATGGGGGGGAGGATCGAGGAGGAGGATAAGGGGGGCGGGCGGGAAGGAAGAGGAGGAGGAGGAGGAGGAGGAGGAGGAGAAGGAGGAGGAGGAGGGGAGGGATTAGGCAGGTGAGAAGGACGGATACGGATAATCAGCCTGGCATGGGATGGTAGAGTGTGAAATTTGGAGTTCCTCAAGGCCCGTGCGGGCCTTGGGGAACTCCAAATTCCAGCATCGCATCGTCACCGAATTCATCCGTGTCCACACTATAGCTTACCATCGTCATCATTGTCATCATCACCATCGTCATCACCACCGCCATTCCCCCTAGCCCCATCCAAACTATACCACTCTTAGTGCCCTTCACAATCTTGGCATCGGTCCTTCTCAGCTGGGCGACGTGTCGGCAAACGCGTCGAAGCCGCCTGCCACACTCCTCAGACCAATCGTCGACCTCCTTGGACGAAATCGGCAACGATTTCTTCGTGGCGATGGCCTGCAGCGCATTTTGCAGCGTCACGGGCTTGAACGAAAGAGTTGGCACAGCAGCTTGGATTGCAACCAGCATGGCAGCATAGAGAATGATTTTCTCCTTGTTGATCTTGTTCGAGCTTTTCTTATCTGCGTTGTACTGGATCCATTGCACAGGAGGGTGACAAACAATATGGGTCACGATCCCCTAGACTGCCCATGCACGGGGTTCCCGAGACGGCCCTAAGAGGAGCCCAAGAAAGGGGGCACGCGAACCGATCAGCCTCAAGAGAGACCTCCAGGAGACGCCCAAAGGCCCTCGACCTCCACCTTCCGCGTCCCGCATTGCCCCCACTCACGCTTTTGTTGTTTATTGCTGTTTGTTTTCATGTTTTCTATGATATAAGTTGGAGGAAATTCAGTAATGTTTGGCATGGTGCCACCTGCGTCACGTAAGGCTCGAGCAACGTCTGGAGCTTCTCCTCCTCGTTGAACCGCGGCCCCTTGGGGGCCATCTGCGCCTCTCGCGAGGCTCGAGCCGAATGCCTTCGAAGCGGGCACCGAGCTCTGCCCGTCGCAATCGTGTCCCCTCATTCTCCCCTTCCTCATCTCCTCCTCGTCTCATCCTCCGCCCGCCTCCTTCTCTTCCTCTTGCTCCTCGCTTCTGCTGCAGCGCGTCGTCGTCTAAGCAACGCACGACAACCTATGTGAGATATACCCGCGAGATGGCCAAAGATGGTACCAAGATTGCTCCATGATGGCTCACCGACAGATCTTAGTTGTTATGTTATGTGTTAGAAGTATGTTTTTGAGGAGAATTAGATTTTTTAGTGAATTTAGTTTTAAAAATTGAATTGAGCCAAACAGCGGGCTCAATTTTTTGAGCCAACCTCCTGGCCCCCCTCCTGGCCCCGGCATCCCCACCCCGGGAGAGCTCTGTTCTTGGGACCCCCCACACGACAATTTCTCCCCCGAAACCTACCAACGCCCCCCATCCTGGCCCCCCTCCTGGCCCCAGCATCCCCACCCCGGGAGAGCTCTACTCTTGGGATCTATTCTTGGGACCCCCCACACGACAATTTCTCGCCCGAAACCCACCAACGCCCCCCTCCTGGCCTCCCTCCTGGTTCCGGCATCCCCACCCCGGGAGAGCTCTATTCATTGGACCCCCCACACGACAATTTCTCGCCCGAAACCTACCAACGCCCCCCTCCTGGCCACCTCCGGCCACCCGTCCGGCCCCCCTCCTGGCCCCGGCATCCCCACCACGGGAGAGCTCTATTCTTGGGACCCCCCACACGACAATTTCTCGTCCGAAACCTACCAACGCCCCCCTCCTGGCCCCCCTCCTGGCCCCGGCATCCCCGTCCCGGGAGAGCTCTATTCTTGGGACCCCCCACACGACGACAATTTCTCGCCCGAAACCTACCAACGCCCCCCTCCTGGCCCCACTCCTGGCCCCGGCATCCCCACCTGGGGAGAGCTCTGCTCTTAGGACCCCCCACACGACAATTTCTCCCCCGAATCCTACCAACGCCC